CCCATCAGGAGCTTTGTGCAGGACAGGGACAGACCTTTGGTTCCGACCCTTTTTGGACGGAGCTCATTCCTTTTTTCACATCGCAGAGGTCCAAACTGGATGGATTTGCTGCGCTCCGTGCTCCGTGGGTGCCCGAAGTCCAATTTTCTGCCAAAGGTGTCCCGAACTGCCCAAACTGTGGGAACCCATGTAACTCCATACATGCCATGAAACCCCTCAACCTTGTTCCTCACATGTGCTCAACATGGCCCATGTGCCAATGACCGCTCTGAAAGAATTCATTGGCCCAATTTGGCAGGTGGCTGCGCTATGATCTCAAGCACTTTGCTGTACATGCACTCACAAACCCTTAAGGTCCTAGAACGCTGTGATCGGTGGATCATTCCTCTGAAACCGATCTGTGACTGCGCCTGCTTGAGGTGCTCCGCGAGCGCTTGTGCCACGATCTCTTCGTTCCGCCGCTGGGCTGCTGCCTGAACTCCGTCCACGGGGCTTCAGTCATGGTCAACGGGGTTTTATTCCAAAGAAAGGATTCGTCAGAGGTGGGATCATCAGCTCAGCTAGCTACTCTTTGGACTGGTCGTTCAGAACCATCGGAGACCCCAACAAAAAACAGCACGCATGAACTGCAGGGAAGGTGTAGCCGCTACAGAGTGGGCTGCTATCGCACCAGCTGCATTGGAGTTTTACTATGCGAACGAAGGCTAAAACGAAGACAGGCCGAAACGAAGGCTGTGTTTCAGCCCCTCTGCTCTCAGCCTCGTCCACTGGCGAAACTGGTGGAGGAGGCACCTCAGTTCCATGGTGCAATTTTAGTACATCTCTGTCAAACCTGGTGCGCTGGAGTTCAAAGACCCTGGGGTTGGGGTATGTTGGGGTACCGATATTCAGATCCAGATTGCTTGGTCGGTTTTGTTTGTACTACTGTATCCCACTGTTCAGATGAGTGATGTCCAAATGTGCCCCACAAGAAAAGTCAAGGAAACGGCGCCACCAATGAGTGATGCAAACCAAGCGCTCGAACGACAAACGATCCGTTTTCATACCCCCCCATGTATCCCTTTCAGGATGGTCTATGTCCCAAAGAAAGAGCAACATGAAATGCACCCTGCAGACTAACCCACATGGGAAAGAACACCTAAGAAAGCCAAGAATGAGAAAGCCGGGGGATGTATCCACTTCGACCGCCGATTTCGGTACATTTGCTCGGTGTATGGGCGGTGTTTTGTCCCCAGACCTGGATGAGTCTTGAGGAGATGCCCCCTGTCAACTAGTGGGAGACCTCAATCTGGAACAAGTGAGGGTCCACAGACTGAAACGCATAGCTGAAATGTCGAAAACAAGGAGGAACCAACAAAGACTGAACCGCCGAATTCCTTGCTTGGCCCAAATAGCTGGAGGGGTGAATACGACTGTTTGCATGGTGTGCGTTCCCTCCCTTCCAATAACCACCAGGACAATCAAAAACAGTGATCATGTTGTTTCTTACTTGAGTACAGTATGGTACAGTAAACTGCACATCTATCTATCTATCTCCCTCTCTCTCCCTCTGTCTGTCTGTATTTGTATGTGTTCATGCATGCATACAGCTGCATGCATGTATGTAAGTATGATCATGTCATGACACAAGATTCAATGCAACGTAACACATTGTAAGATCACATGTCTTCTTTGCCGCTAGACGCATGTGCGCAGCTTTGACAACTTGCTTTCTCACTGGATCACTTTTGGCAAAAAGCTACTAAAAACTACTTATCTGATCATATAGATAATAGTGTGTCCAAATTGTTTATCTTCACATCATGAACTTCTTCTAAACCCCAAAGTTACTGTATCTCTACGAGTAGGTGTTCATTCTTACACCCCTATATAATCTTCTCTCCGAAAAGTTCTTGCTTGTCATCTCTCCTATGTAATGCTCCTAAAAGTTATTTTGCATTCTTTTGTACCAATTTATCTCATTTCTAGTTTTATCCTCGCGTCCTTAATCCTCATTCCACAAATTCTTTACACTCATGTCTGCAGCTTATCGTTCCCTAGTTTGTTCAAAAAACTGCAGTTTTCTCTCCAACCTTAATTGAAGTTGCTTATCCT